TACTGGACTCAGTCCGGTGAAGGTCTTGGTAGCTGTGGACAATTAGTCCTTTGGACTAATCTTTTCGTTGTATCCTGTTCTCCTCAGAGAATAAACAAATTTTTGATTACCATTTTGAAATCTGGTTTATTTTCATTTTATCCCAAACAAGTTTTACAATATAACATCAAAGAAATAAGCACCTAGGACTTAGGCTAACGTGATTCTCAACCTGGGATACTTAGTCTAAACTATGTTTCTCAACCTTTGTGGTATGGGACTTTCAACAGCATGTCAAGGACGCTTGAAGCCACAAAATAAAAATGGCACGTCTTCTTGGAACAATTTAAAAGAATAATTTAAAACTTTCATATTAACACATAGGTGTATTATGGAGCAATAATGAATTTCTAAGATGAAAGAAGACATTTTAAAGAAATTTACAGCGGACAGCTCCAGGCATGTTCACAGACAACGTCTCCATATCCCCAGCCCACCTGGGGGTAGGTCTTCATTCTCCTATTATGGGTACAGTATTATAGTTTATTTGTAGAAAAGTTTGGAAAACTTTGACCAAAGGTATCATCCAATCAAGTGAACAGAATTTACTGTGCATCCAGGTTGTTGGAGCATTGTGTTCTGGGGAAATAATGAAGCATTAGATATCATCTATGTCCTCAAGGAGCAGGGGAAATGAGACAAACATAACAAGTTAAAAAATGAAAAAAATACATAAAAAAGAAAGCAAAGAGAGCAAGTCATGGTAGCATAGCTCAAAACACAAACTATTATCAAGTGATTAAATGTCAGAAGCATGGCAAGTGTAAAAGCCACAGGAGTTCTGAGGTGGAGAAACCATCACAGCCCAGAGCAGTCTGGAAAGGCTTTGAGGATAAAGTAATAAGGGAATGAGGGACCGAAAAGAGCTGGACAGGAAGAAAGGAGAGGAAAGCCTGGATGTAGGCAGAGATGCAAGTTTAAAAAGGTTCAGGAAGCTGTATGGCCAGAGCAGAACTGAGTAAGGTTAGCCAGATTACAGACCTGAATGCAAAACTAAAGAAAGGACAGTCTATAATAGTCTGGACAACTCAATGAAAGCAGGCAGCACTCTACACTATGAAGAAAGAGTACACAGTATTTAAATAGTTAGTCTTAAATAAATCTATCACCGTAAGGCTTTAAGCTAGCTAGATTTGCTGTGTTGGGTGGTTCTTCTCTTGCTCCACATAAGGGTTTACAACAAGTTCATACAACCTCTCTCACGTAAGGATCAGGACAGAAGAACAAACAGAAAGTAAACAATAAAATCCTGTCCTATTTTTAATTTTCTCACTGACTTTGCCATACATTATATCCATGTTTTCCTTTCTCCTTGACATCCGATAAAGCCAATAAAATAAATACATTTCACAAAAGTATACATGGATTTGGTTGAGAAAAATGTATTGGTGTAAAATTTTCAGAAGAGTAAAGAACTATGATCAAAAGGTAACAAATGCTCTCTACATCCTCTGGGAAGAAAATTACTTCTCTTAGGGTTCCAAACAGTGCCCTGAGACACTCATAATAGAGTTTCTTTGAAGATGTAGATTACACCCTGCACATACTAAGCTACTTCAATTTTTCAAATATGAGATAAAACAATCTGTAGTTTACAATTTGTAATAAAACTTCATAGAAACCCCTTTTGAAGCAAATGGCGCATGCCTTCTTTATTCTTCCCTCTCAAACTCATCGCTAATCATCTGAACTTTAAAATGGGCCATTATTCAAATTATAATTTTTCACAAAACAACAAAGAAGCATTGTGGATTTCTGTAAAAATGTCATAAAGCACCCTAAACTGTAGATCAGTGACTTAACTCCAGAACTAAAATTTATCAATGTCTTCTATAATTTAACTTTAAATTTTACAGCTCTCTCAAAAATATTTTTCAAGTGGTCATTCGAAAAATAGCAACATAATCTGGAAGACAACATTATATAGAAAAAAAGTTCCTGGGCTAACAGTCAGAAGCCTGAATTTTAATACCAACACAGCCACTATCTCTTTGTGTGACAATGGAAGAATCTCTTAATTAGCCTGACAAAATCCAACAGGCAAGATACCTGGTTGCTATGCAACGCACACGCTGCCCTTGTTTTCTAAGAGGGAGATGAGGTTTCCAGTAGGGCTTTGACCTATAATTTTTCCCATTCCAGTTATCATTATGGTTCACTCAAATTTTAAAAAACTGGGTCTGTTCCAGTTTTATCTCCTCAGCCATGAATGAACCATAAAGAACTGGTTTGAAGCCCAGAGTTAAAGGTCTATACAGTCTATGATCTCACATGGAAAATTTCTTAACATTCCAACTTTCTTATTTCTTTGGAGAGCAGTTAGAAACACCTGTCAAATTAACAGAAGCACTCTATTCCCTTTGTAAAGAGTATTATACTAACAGATATTCATACAGTAGACCCATGGCTCACACACCTGATTCTACTCCCATTAGTTGAGTAGTGGGCTTACAGAGAATCACCTGTGTTGGTTCCCAAACCGGTTTATGTGCATATTGTTATTTTCTGTATTAACAATATAAAATTGATGATAATTAACCATTTTTGACAATTCATATGGTGATTTCGTGTAGTTCAATTCAATGCATAATTAAGTATATTAATAAAGTACAAGTACAACAAGGGAATTACAGTTTTTATGAAAATCAAGTTGAATGTTTGGGAAGGCTTGATAAAGGCAAGTTACGAAAAACAATGCCGTCAAATTAGGCGTGGGGGAAACAACTGTAAAAGATTAAGGATAAATATAAAAACCCAGAAGAAATCTGCACTCAGACTGCTTTTCAAGTGTGTTAAGATAATGCAGAAACTCTAATTAGCACTCTCTACCCCTAAAAGAAACCCTGGTGGCATATTGGTTAAGTGTTCGGCTGCTAACTAAAGGTTGACAGTTCGAATCCACCAGGTGTTCTTTGGAAACCCTGTGGGGCAGTTCTACTCTGTCCTATAGGGTTGCTATGAGTTGGAATCGACTCGAAGGCAATGGGTTTGTTTTGTTTGTTTTTTACCCGCAAAAGACCTCTGCCTTCTTTTTATATATAACTGGTGAATAAATATACGCTTACATGTTTTAAGTTAAAATATTTAAGACAGAGGTCAGCAAGCTTTTTCTGTAAAGGACTAGATAGTAAATATTTCAGATTTTGTGGGCCACACATGGCTCTGCTGCATATTCTTCACAGTCTTATTTTTATTTTTTTTAATCATTTAAAAGTGCAGAAACCATTCATAGATTATGGGCCTTACAAAAACAGACTATGGCCATAGTTTGTCAACATCTGGTTTAAGATATATGTATCAATTTATGATTTCCCAACTTTATCACTTTCTGATAACTTACCAACTACTGATCACAATCATATCAGATTAAGAATGCTTATTTATTTTACTTTATTGCCAAATATGCATATAATTGAAGTACAACACTATCAGTGATAGGATAATATCCCTACGCCTACGAGGAAGACCAGTTAAAACAACTATTATTCAAATTTGCACATTAACCACTAATGCCAAAGATGAAGAAATTGAAGGCTTTTCTCAACTTCTGCAGTATGAAATTGATCAAACACGCAAGCAAGATGCATTGATAACTACTGGTGATTGGAATGCAAAAGTTGGAAACAAAGAAGAATGATCAGTCGTTGGAAAATAGGACCTTGGTGATAGAGACGATGCTGGAGATCACAGGACAAAACTGTGCAAGACCAATGACTTACTCATTGCAAATACCTTTTCAACAACATCAAATCGATTACATCTGTGGAAAGAGATGACAGAGAAGCTCAATATCATCAGTCAGAACAAGGCCAGGGGCCGATTGTGGAACAGACCATCAATTGCTCATATGCAAGTTCAAGTTGAAGCTGAAGAAAATTAGAACAAGTCCACGAGAGCCAAAGTACGACCCTGATGTTATCCCATGTGAATTTAGAGACCATTTCAAGAACAGACTTGACACGCTGAACACTAATAACCAAAGACTAGATGAGTCGTGGGATGGCATCAAGGACATCATACATGAAGAAAGCAAAAAAGGTCATTAAAAAGACAGGAAAGAAAAGACCAAGATGGATGTCAGAAGAGACTCTGAAACTTGCTCTTGAATGTCAAGTAGCTAAAGCAAATGGAAGAAATGATGAAGTAAAAGAGATGAACAAAAGATTTCAAAGGGCAGCTCAAGAAGACAAAGCAAAGAATTATAATGAAATGTGTAAAGATCTGGAGTTAGAAAATCAAAAGGGAAGAATATGCTTGGCATTTCTCAAGCTGAAAGAACTGAAGAAAAAATTCAAGCTTCGAGTAGCAATACTGAAGGATTCTATGGGCAAAAGAGTGAACGATGCCGGAAGCATCGAAAGAAGATGGAAGGAATACATAGTTACTGTACCAAGAAGAATTGGTTGACGTTTAACTATTTTAGGAGGCAGCACATGAACAAGAACTGATGGTACTAAAGGAAGAAGTCCAAGCTGCACTGAAGGCATTGGTAAAAACAAGTCTCCAGGAATTTATGGAATACCACTTGAGATGTTTCAACAAACGGACGCAACACTGGAAGTGCTCACTCATCTATGCTAAGAAATTTGGAAGACAGCTACCTGGCCAACTGACTGGAAGAGATCCATATCTGTGCCCATTCCAAAGAGAGGTGATCCAACAGAATGTAGAAATTATTGAACAATATCATTAAAATCACACGCCAAGTAAAATTTTGCTGAAGATCATTCAAAAACGGTTGCAGCAGTAAATCAATAGAGAACCGCCAGAAATTCCAGCCAAATTCAGAAGAGGGCGTCGAACAAGGGTTATCATTGTTGATGGATCCTGGCTGAAAGCAAAGACTACCAAAAAGATGTTTACCTATGTTTTATTGATTATGCAACGGCATTTGACTATGGATTGTACCAAATTATGGATAACACTGGGAAGAATAGGAATTCAAGAACACTTAATTGTGTTCATGTAGAATCTGTACATAGACAAAAAGGCAGTTATTCAAACAGAACAAGCTGATACTGGGTGGTTTAAAATCAGGAATGGTGTGTATCACGTTGTATCTTTTCACCACAGTTATTCAACCTGCATGCTGAGCAAATAATTCAAGAAGTTGGACTATATGAAGAAGAATGAGGCATCAGGATTGGAGGAAGATTCATAGCAACCTTCATTATGCAGATGATACAACCTTGCTTGCTGAAAGTGAAGAAAACTTGAGGCACTTAACTGATGAAGATCAAAGACCACAGCCTTCAGTATGGATTACTCCTTAACATAAAAAAGACAAAAAATCCTCACAACTGGACCAATAAGCAACATCATGATAAACGGAGAAAAGATTTAAGTTATCAAGGATTTTGTTTTACTTGGATCCACAATCAATGCCCGTGGAAGCAGCAGTCAAGAAATCAAATGACACATTGCATTGGGCAAATCTGCTGCAAAAGATCTCTTTAAAGTGTTAAAACGCAAAGATGTCACTTTGAGGACTAAGGTGTGCCTGACTCAAGCTGTATTTTCAATTGCCTCATGTGCATGTGAAAGCTGGACAATGAATGAGGAAGACCAAAGAAGAACGCATGCCTCCAAATTAGTGTTGGTGAAGAATACTGAATACAGCATGGACTGCCAGAAGAACGAACAAGTTTGTCTTGGAAGAAGTACAGCCAGAGCGTTCTTTGGAAGCGAGGATGGCAAGACTTTGTCTCACTACTTTGGACATGTTATCAGGAGGTAATAGTCCCTGGAGGACATCATGCTTGGTAAGGTAGAGGGCCACTGAATAAAAGGAAGACCCCCCACGAGATCGACAACAGTGGCTGCAACAACGTGCTCAAACGTAACAATGATTGTGAGGATGGTGCAGGACTGGGCAGTATTTCATTCTGTTGTACGCAGGGTAGCTATGAGTCAGAACTGACTTGATGGCACCTAACAACAACAATATGCATCTAATTCTCAGCTACCTGAAATAGCTTCTTCTCAACCCAGAAGTTTTAAGATTAGGTATGGTCCTTCTTTGGACTTATAAAAATAGTGCATTTTTGCTAGTGTCACGTATTAGTTTCTTTCCTTTCCCATGTGAGATGATCTACCTTCATTTTATCTTCAATACTGAGACATTTACGTCAAATACTTGGTCTCAGCTGCTATCCAAAGATCAGCAGTTCAAATCCACCAAGCCGCTCCTTGGAAAATCTATGGGGCAGTTCTACAGTGTCCTTTAGTTTCACTATGAGTCAGAATCAACCCAACGGCAACGGGATGATCAAAGTAGGACTAATAATACAGAATTCTTTATAAGATAAGGCTAAAGTAGACTCTTTCAGAAATTAACTTTGAATCTTGACTATAAAGCTTCCCATTCTTTTGATTTTTAAAATCCCAAATAAACACATTAAAACTTTAAACAGCAACATAAAAATTTATGTGGATAAAATTTGGCAGGATTACAAAAAACGTTTAAGTACAAACTATAGAAGTTCAAGATCAGAGTAGTTTATACCTAATTCCACAAGCAATATGATATGGTGTAGTTTTCCAAGACTCCGCATCAACTTGTTTACCATCAGGTAGAGTGACTTTAATTGGTTTGCTATCTTTTTCTGCTTTTTCTGCCAGAATGGAATCATGTTCTGCTTTTAGTTTATTATACATCTCAAGACGTATGTTAATATATTCAGGCCAAGGATTTAACTGCAAGACAACAAATGAGGAAATAAACAATCAGTAAATATTTCCTTTTTAAAGGAAAAAAGTAATTAACAGATAATATGAAAGCCCAAGGTAAATGATTTATCATGGTATATGGATTGCTGAAATCACCAGGCATCACTTTAATCTGGTCCTAAATGAAGGTTAAAGAAATTAAATGTCCTCTCATTATAATCTTTAAGAAATTAAAAAAAATAGAAACACGTAAATAACCACACACGGGGAAGGCACCATATGAAGACAGACACTCACAACAGATTATCTACAAACCTAGGATCCCCAAGGATTGCTGTCTACTAGAAGCCAAAATAAAGAAAGAAGGACCTCTCCCTAGAGCTGTGCCGTGAATTTTGAATTTTAGCCTCCTGAACTGTGAGAAAATATTTTTTTTTCTTCAAAGTCACCCATCTGAGGTATATTTGCTACAGCAGCACTAGATAACTAAGACATAGTGGAAATAAAAACAACTAACTGGCTTTTCCATTTTGCTTCAATCTTGTTCAGGAAATGGCCTGTGTAGTTGATCAGCCTATGTGGCCACTCACAACTTTTTTTTTTTTTTTTTTACTTTTTTGTCTCCAGTTTATTTCATTGAGCATAGTCTTAATATTTATCAAAGTTGTTGATAGTTTGTTAACTTTTTTTTTATTGTACTTTAGATGAAGGTTTACAGAACAAACTAGCTTCTCATTAAACAGTTATTACACATATTGTTTTATGACATTGGTTAACAACACCACCACATGTCAACACTCTCCCTTCTCGACCCTGGGTTCCCTATTATCAGCTTCCTGTCCCGCCCTGCCTTCTAGTTCTTGCCCCTGGTCTGGTGTACTCCTTTAGCCTCATTTTGTTTTATTGGCCTGTCTAATCTCTGCCTGAAGGGTGAACCTCAGGAGTGACTTCATTACCGAGCTAAAACGATGTCCGCGGGCTAACTCTCGGGGTTTCTCCACTTTCTGTTAGGCCAGTAAGTCTGTTCTTTTTTTGTGACATGCACAACTCTTAACTTTCAACTATAAATTTATTTGCCTTGGTGACTCCCATTCAAGGAAAGTATTTATTGAATTCAAAGATCACCTTATTTCTTGGAGTGTTCAATTAGCAAGTATAAGAAACCATAGCATGACATTACAGCCTGTAGTGGAAAAAATTAACCAAAATATTTTCTATAAAATGCCGACTCAGGTTCCCAAAAATTTGGCAAAGAAAAAAAAAAAAGAGACAGCTATCAAACATCTAACTTCTTTATTGTCAGAGACTCCACAGTCTCTAAAACATTTCACAAAGTAGGTAATGCATCTGTGGTCACAAGACAGTCAAACCACCAACATCTATACCACTTACAATCTAGAAATGAGAACAACATGGATAATAGTTATAAATGAAAACGAAGAAAAGATGGCTTAATTTTGCCATAAGTTTCTACCTTCATATGGATTTAAATCAATCAGCTATAATAATGACTAATTCAAATACATGCTTTACAACTTAGTAGATTTTGATAATGCTACCAAAAATTCTACATATAATATATACTGACATAGCATGCACAATCTGAAAGAAATACAAGCTATTAACTAATCCTTGAGAACCTGACTTGAGATAATAGAAAATGAAAATACTTAGGGGTTCATTGTCCACTCAGCTTGGGTAACATAGTGTTGGTGTCACGGCTGTTCACTATGTTAACTTCAAAGGTTAACAACACTGCCATAAATATCAGAGTTAGAAAAGAATAGCTACAACATTTTTTAATAGATATTTGTATGTTCCGTCTGTTTGAACCACCTCTTAGAACAGTAAGATTATCTTGTGAAGCAGTACTTTCACTTTTTTTGCTTATATAAAATTTCCTTCTCATTTCAATCCTATCTTTTCTAAGCCTTCATCTTTTCAAATGGAAGAACCCTAATCTCTTTATACTTTCCTTCTATAGCAGTCCTTCCCTTTCTTTAGTTATTTAGTTGTTCTTGGGAGCTTTTAATTACATTACAACAGGGGTTTGAAACCCTCCATGGTGAAGAGCCACTGAATTAACTGAAAGCTCAGACCCTGTCATTCTACAAACATAGTCTGAACCACTCAGTCCAAGTGGTTTCTTACCTGGTCCTGCCTACTCTGAAGCATGAGTGTAGTCTTATCCACCTACATGATTGTTCTATAGCTTGATAAAGTTTATCTCCGTATCTACTTGGCACTTCCCAACCAGAACTTGGTGTCAAACTTAATTTACCAACATTCATTGAGCCCTGTGCTGGGCTCTGGGAACGCAGAGATGAATAAAGGCCTGCACGCTGCCCTTGGAGGGTGAACAAGACAAGTATATAAATGATGGGGGCACAGAGGAGGAGGAAAGGTCTTAGACATCTCACTGTGCAATCTTTTTTCTTGACAGATCATTTAAAACATGTTTAATGCCATGTCCCACTTAAAATTCTCTATTCAGAGGAGTTCTGTAATTGCACCCTTTGTTTCCTGTTTCCAGGCTAATTCTCAAGCTGAGATAGAACAGCATTTACTGCTATATTGAAAGTATAAAAATAAATCAAGGAACACTGCATTTTTCTACTTACTCACAAACTTTAAATTCACAATCAACAGTTTCTCCCACAACTGTTACGGGAATAATGGACAGGAGATTAGTCAAACATATAAGAAATGGGTAGGTAGGGCTCTAAGCAACACTATACTTAATCACTTACACACATGCCCCTAAGTAAACGGAAACAACACAAATACAAATTTAGCAAAAGTACCATTTATAAAAGGAGCTCTGGTGGCACAGTGGGTAAAGCAATTGACTGCTAACTGAAAGGTCAGCAGTTCAAAACCATCAGTGGCTCCACAGGAGAAAAGATGTGGCAGTCTGCTTCTGTAAAGATTTACAGCCTTGGAAACCCTATGGGGTCACTATGAGTTGGAATCGAGTCAAGGGCAGTGTTTGGAGTTTTGGGAGCATTTATAAAAATGGCTCCTTAAAGCCAGTTTATTGTACTATATAGTATGTACTTCTAAAAACCCTGTCCCTTCGTGTTTCTGCATGCTGCTGTAAGTTTTCCAAAGAGTCTCCAATAAAACAGCTACAATGACTAAAGCAAAAAAGTGAAGCATAGTACTCCGCAGTTCAACTTCAAAAAGAAAGCAGGAAGGACAGGCTGAACTGCCTCCTAAAGTGAAAAACCAAGGAACCCAGTTGATTCTGGGCTGGTTTCAGAAATGCCAGTTCCATTTATTGTGAACCTGGGAAACTGAGAGAAAGGATTTTCTCTAGACTTGAGTGGATCTGTCCTGGCTCAAAACCAAACCCTGGTGGTAGGTATAGATGCAAACAGTGTGGAGGGGATCAAGGAAAGGAGCCTTCTTTGGGTTATCTTTTATTTAGTATAAATACCAAGTCTCTACCCCTTAATATCTCATTTAATGAGCTGATCAGAAAGCTAGCATTCAATCTAGCAACTGAGCAATTACTAGTCCAACCTTTGCTCTCTGATTTTATAAGCTCACCATCAGATCATTCAATAATCACATCCTAGCTGTTTCCGTTTTTCAATAAGAAATAACCGTAAATCTTTAATTCCCCTCTCTGGCTATGCTTTCCTAATTCTTCTCCCTGATTTGTCTATCTAGTACCATCTTACAGCCCCATGTAAACCATTAGACTCCTTACATGTAGGATAAATGAAAGACAGTTCCCTACCACTGGTCACTCTTTGATAACAGAGTCCTAAAACATTTACCTCTGTTCGACCTCCATCCCCAGATCCTTCTTTATTCTTCTTCTTGCCTCCTTCCTTTCGCTTCTCCTCACCAGCACCTACCTAAATAAACAAAACAGAAATGAAAGTTTTATATTTTAATCTAATTTAATTCCCAGCATCCTGCTTCCAAAGCTGTGAGGATGTTATTTTAGAATCTGTACCAAAAAAAAGTAAAACTCTGATTTTGCAAGACTAGAAAATTTCACTACGGGCAAAGACAAGTTAACAACTTACAACAAAGCCGAGGCCTAGAAGAGATGAAGGGAGTTATCTGACAATTTCAGTTTCCCAAATTCATTTATTTTGCCTGTTTCCACAATTCTTGCTTTAGGTTTAGTTGGATCATATATTAAAGATATAGCCACAAACAAGCATGCAATTTATTCAGTAACAGTATTTTCAGAAACAATATTTAATGCAATGTATATCCATTCATTTCACAAGTACTACCAAAAGCCTACATGATCATAATATTTTATTAAACCCTGTGGCAGCAAAAAACGTAAGATCCAGTTCCTACTGTGTAGAAACTTAACCTCTCCAGGGAAACTAAGGCACACGTGTGTGAGAAACTCTTGGGGGAGAAAAGAACACAGCAGCAGCACTAGGATTATATGTCAAACAAGCTGGGATGACAGTAAGTGTTAGAGTAGGATGGGCTTTAAAGAATGGATAGGATTTCAACAGCTGGATTTTGAAAATGGAGGAAATGTGTTCTAGGTGTACAATAACTTGTTAGAAATGTCTAAAAAAAAAGAGAGAATAACTAAAGCAGGGTGACTAAAGCAGGCAGCTTATTTTAGAAAGTGATGCAAGATAATACTGACTAGGCTCAGACAGCACTAAATCACTGAAAGTTACCATAAGGAACATGGGCCTCAATTAGAAGCAACTGAAGTCATAGAAAGTGTTAAAGCAGTAAGTCCTATAGTAAGTAATGGCAGAGTTGATCTACACCAGTGGTTCTCTGCCAGGAGCAATTCTGTTCTCCGAAGGGACATTTGGCAATATCTAAAGACATTTTTGATTGTCACAACTGGGGAGGCCAGGGATGCTGCTAAACATCCTACAATGCACAGAACAGCCCCCTACAACAAAGAATTGTTGTCCAGCCACAATGTCAACAGTGCTGAGAATGACAAACCCTGGTCTACACTATGGAATACTATGAAGAGCTATCTTTTCAGAAATTTATTATTTACTTCACTGTGACTATTCAATAAGAAACATCCTAAAGCAAATTACACTACAGAAATATTCCACAATTTAAAAAGCATTTCTACCAACAATCACATCAGATTCTCGTACCAACCCTGTGAGGTGACTATTACTATTATCCCAATTTACAAATAGGATTAAACTGGAAAATGTCAGATGATTTTTCTAGGTTCACACAACCTGTAAGTGGCAGGAAGAACGTGCACTCAAGTGCTGACAGTGATCACCATACTCTAAGGAGGGATGTGATTGTCAGCAGTGAAGGAGGTGGTTTTGGGGAATCCCTGAGTGATGTGACAGCAATGGGTTTGTTTGATGTTTCTTTTTTTTTTTTTTTTTTTTGAGTGGTACAAATGGTTAATGAGCTCAATTTCTCAATCTTTCATTTGACAAGTTGGAGTTCAAGTCTATCCAGAGGTGTCTTGAAAGAAAGGCCTGGCAACCTACTTCTGCAAAACCAGCCATTGAAAATCCCACGGAGCAAAGTTCTACTCTGACACACATGGGGTTGCCATAAGTTGGAAGCAACTTGATGGCAATGGTTTGGCTTTGGTTTACTGAGGATGTGGAGGGGAGTTTTATATATGTTTGTGTCTTTTCAATCTTTTTTTTTTTCTTGTACTTTAGATGAAGGTTTACAGAACAAACAGTTTCTCATTAAACAGTTAGTATACATATTGTTCTATGACATTGATTAACAACCCCACAACATGTCAACTCTCTCCCTTCTCGACCTTGGGTTCCCTATTACCAGCTTTCCTGTCCTCTCCTGCCTTCTAGTCCTTGTCCCTGGGCTGTTGTGCCCCATTAGTCTCATTTTGTTTTACGGGCCTGTCTAATCTTTGGCTGAAGGATGAACCTCAGGATTTTCAATCTTTTTTCATTCATGTTGTAACATGTATCAGCACTGCATTTCTTTTTATTGCTGAATAATATTCCAATGTACAGATGTCCCACATTTTATTTATCTCTTCATTTGAATATTATAAAACAACCTATCATTTGTATAATTTAAAAAATAAATTAAACAATATGACTCCTAACTTCATGCTGAGCTAAAACTTTCCCCACCTCAGTATTCTGGATTTAATAACCTTTTAGTTTCATTTATATTCAACAGATGAATGAATAATCAAATAAAGAACTACAACAGAGTCCCTATAAGCCTTCACTATAGAATTGACATGATCAGTCAACTAAATTGGGTAAGAAAAGGGATAAAAATTAACTGTAGGTTTGTGTGTACAGATTTAAAATGGAAAGAGAATAAAGTAAGTTAATTTTTCTGATAAAGCATCATTTTTGGTTTTGGCCATACAGGTATTTGTCAAATAAACAGGAGTAGCGGAGAAGAGGGAGAAAATTAACCCAAGAGTTTTCTGTATTCTTAACACCTCTCTCCATTTTACAAATGAGAACACTGGCTCAAAGAGCGTACTTAATTTGCCCTGATGTATACAGCTAGTAAGCAGCAGAACCAGGACAGTAAAACCAGTTTCTCTGGAACCCTGAGGTCCATTCTCTATTTACTACAACAACTGGGAAAGCGGTGGACAACTATTTTCTATTTCCAAAGAAAACATAACAAAAATGCATGAGTTTATATATTATATATTTATATTCAAGCAATTTAAAACTTCAAACTGAAAGTTAGCACACAGAACTTAGAATCAAACAGCAGAATATTTATGGACATGGAAAGTTGCTAACAATATATTATTAGCTGAAAGCATAAACAAGTAACAAAACAATGAAGATACCACCTTAAGTAAAAAATTTAGAGATGGAAAAAAGTCTAGGGATAGCCACCATATGTCACCTTACATTTAATTTATATATAGTTTAGAATGTGTACGCATATACATTTTCCCTATCCAATCCTCTGAGTTAGGGGCATCCTCATTTTATTGACGAGGAAATTGTGGCTTTTATGTGATTTGTCCTGTCACAGACTTAAGAACTGCTTTAATTCTCAGACTTCATCACTTCTTATGTGGACTATTGCAACAGCCTCCTCTGCATGTGGCCTCATCTCTTTCCAATGCACCTTCCAACCCTATGCTAGAGTGATCTTTACAAATAAACAATCCACATATATCACTTTCCGCTTACAATCTTTTATGTGGAAGATACAATTTCAAATATCTTTGGTTGCCTAAGGTAACCTGGGTGTGCCTTTTCACTGCCCTCCCTATCTTTACCTGATGAACTCACACTCATTCGTCCAAACTCAGTACAAGCGACTCCTCCTAAACCCAGTTAGGAGCTCCTTCTCCTGTAATCCCACACTTCGCTAGGACTGTCTTTCTTTGTCCCTCACACACCAGACTGTGAGGCCCTCAAGGTCAGGAACTAGGCCCTATTCGTCTTCCTACGTGCAGTGCCTAGCACAGCGTCCGGCAGAATGAGTACCTAACATTTGGTGATTGTAAATTTAAAAAAAAAAGGTCTGGCGGTGTGAAAGTAACCTGGGAGATGTTCCTATGCGGAAGATGACACCAAGGAGGAAACCCAAAGGTGAAATGACCAGCTCGTGTGAATATGATAAGGCATGCCTCCAGCAACGGGCAGGGGGAAGAGGCGGAACCTCTTTGGAATCGGCCACCTGGAGTCGTCCGGCTTCTACCATTTATTCACAAGTCACCCAAGATGGGGCAAGTTTTATCAGCTCTCCGGAACTCGGTTTTCCCTTCCCTAAACTGGAGCAATAACTCCTCCTTCCTCATTTAGCATCAAATGAGGCTTTTCCAGCTTAGACTGAGTCAAAAAAGCACTAGTTGACGGACCCTGAGCAGTAGATTCTAATTGTCTCGGTTTCGAACTAGATGTGTGGATCTGAGCAAATCACTCACACAAGGGATCAGTTGCATCATCTGCAAAAGACGATGGGCCCGGACATGACCTCCAAGAACGGCGCCCGGCTCTATGAATGGCCGATTCCTTCACTTGCCCAGGAGCTCCGCTGTCCCCTCGGCCTCCCCCGTCCCACACTGCGGGGCCGCTTCCTCCTCCCAGTCGTCGCCCCGCGGGCACCGGTGAGCAGCATCCGTACGGAGGAGTACCCCATCCCGGCCTCTGGACCCCCTCAGCCCGCTCACCGGCTTCTCTTTGCCTCCCATCTTCCCGGCAGGATCACTAGCTTTCTCCTCAGACATCGGTAAGCTACGAAGCGAAGACGGAACCCAAAAGCGATGGTCTCAAACGGACGAGGGCGGAGGCCCGTGAGAGGTGGACCCCGGCGCCACTGCGCTTGCGCTACGTGGCCCTGACTTGGACTGGCTGATGCAACTTGAAGGCGCCCAAGCCCCGCCTCCTAGCCGGCAGAACGGGCAGCCAATTGATAACGAGGGAAGGCGGGCCCTCCCGACCCTAAGCCAGTGAAAAAGCTCGTTTGGTGACAGACCCCCACCCCCACCCCGCCCCTAGGAAATGAGTGTGCGGTGGGTGAGGAATGGAAATCCTACTCCTTGCCGTCGCAGGACTGAGCCCCTCCAGAGCTGGAAAGTCCTCAATGCGCGTGCGCTGTTCCTCCCCCGCCCCGCCAGCTGACTTTTTGCCCTCTAGTCAAGGGCTTTGCCGGCCACCGTAGCGAACAAGGAGGGCTCAGGCTAAAACTTCCTGGAAGCTTTTGGCGATCTCGATAGCGTTCATGGCACCGAGACGAAGCCTTGGATAATCGTTCAGGGTTTCCTGCAGCTTCGACTTTGCCTGACCCGGCGTGACTGCTTCTTCTGGGGACCGCCCAGGACCTTCAGTGTATAGTGGTGAATCGAGCCCTGCTAATGGTAATCCAGGCTTTCCAAGACCTGAGCCTTTGTAGTTGGTGAACGAGTGTCTGCCTCAGACATTCCTTAATAGATGTCACCGCAACTCTATAATGCATCGGGGAGCATTTCCCTAAGACCCACGAAAATGCAATGAAGTTTTTTACTTTAAGAAATAACCACGCCGACTCCACGGATTCTCACGCATAGGTCTTAGTGTTTGGATTAGAATGATTCGTCTTCATTTACTTTGCCAGTCAGTTTAAAATAAATACTAATTTGAAATCAGAAGCACAGTGAACAGTTTTTCAGTTTATGTCATCAGTCACCAAGTTTTGTGGATTTTATTCTCCCAGATTGAGACACTAATTTTTTAATTACTGTTCCCTAGTGTGAGACACTGTTTTTTTAGTGGTAAAATTTTACCATCTTAAAAAAATGTACCGTCTCCTAGTTTGAGACACTATTTTTTTTTTAAAGGTAAAGTTTTATCATTAAAAGAATTATTGTCTCTTAAATGGAGACTCTGGTTTTTTTTTTAATGTTAAAATCGAACTGGCTAGGTGCTGCTAAGAGTTGCGTGATGCTATCAGCAAATATAACACTTAGACTTGCTCCAGTAATGTGGTCAGGAAATGGTTCCCCTAAGTAATGGATCCTTGAGCTGAAAGCTGAAAAATAAGTAGGCGTTAATCTTAAGGCGAGCACAACTTGTAGTTTTTGCCAGCATCTAGCAGATGTAAGCCTAGCAAACAGCAGATGTTCAATAAATGTTGAGGGAATTAATGAGTGCTGAGACAAACCTTGCTTGAAAAATAACCTCTTAAATTTGTACTGTGAAAAATAAGCCAAACCTCTATACTACCTAGGTCTAGAATAAGATTTATAATAAGAGTAGAATATTGCTAGTATTTGCTGGATGTTCTCCTTAAGAAGTTCCAGGAGTTATATACAATTTTAATCTGACTTCTCACATTTAAGTTAGAATCAACAGGATCAAGACTTACCATCTAATGTAAAACAAGTATGCTTATTCGACATATTTGCCTGAGTTCTATCTTAATTTTAGTTAAGGATACTGAGGACCAGGGAGATGAAGAATACTGAATATGCTAGAGGCAGAACAAGAACTAGAACCTGTGCCTGTCAGCTGACAAATAGCTGTTCTTACTGCTGTGCAACAGGGTCTCAAGCAGCTTCTCTCTCCCTCTCTTCCCCCAACCTCGGTCCCAGTCGTGGTCTAGGGATGGCAAAGAGAAAAAGCTGAGACTTTTCTGAGGGGTTGAATGTGGTGCAGGTGATGTAAGCAAAGCTGTAAACGTCAGTACTGGTGTAGGAATCTCTCCGGAAGGATCCTGATAGCACAGTGCCCCCTGGTGTTAGGAAGGAGCTCTTTCATCATGTGTGCATTTGAGGCTAAGCAAAGATTCTGGGAGCCTCCAAATATCTCAGATCCAGAGCAATTGGAGCATGCTGTTGTGTAAGTTTTGGGTATTCACCACCACTAACAACAACAACAAAAACCTATTGATGGACTCCTAATCTTATAATTTATGGTCACTGCCCTACACACTTTTTAGGATAGTGATTCTCAACAGCTCTACCTTGGGAAATGAACCCAAATCGTCTGTGAGGTATGCCACAAATAATATGTGTAATTACAAAGAATGGAAGTTAACAATGCGGTACCACACAGCGATAAAGAACAGTGACGAATCTGCAAAACATCTCAACATGGATGCATCTGGAGGGTATTATGCTGAGTGAAATAAGTCAATCACAAAAGGACAAATACTATATGAGACCAATATTATAAAAACACAGGAAAATGCTCCCACACAGAAAGAAGGAATCTTTGATGGTTACAAGGGAGAGGAAGGGTGGGGAGGGAAAAACACTACTAGATAGTAGGTAAGTGGTAACTTTAACTTTGGTGAAGGGTAAGACAGTACACAGTACTTGGGAAGTCAGCACAGCTTGACCAGGGCAAAGTCATAGAAGCTTCACAGACACACCCAAATGCTGAGAGACCAAGCTACTGGGCCAAGGGCTGGGAACCACGGTCTCAGGAGACATCTAGCTCAATTGTCATAATGTAGTCTACAAATAAAATGTTCTATATCCGACTGTGGTGAGTAGTGACTGGGGTCTTAAAAGCCTGCGAGCAGCCGTCTAAGATACGTATATTTGTCCCATCCTGGCTGGAGCAAAGGAGAATGAAGGCAACCAAAGACAAGGGAAAGATTAGTCCCAAGGACTAATGGACCAGAACTACCACAACCTCCACCAGACAGCCCAGAACAACTAGATGGTGCCCAGTTACCACCACCGACTGCTCTGGCAGGGATCACAATAGAGGGTCCTGGACAGAGCTGGAGAAAAGTGTAGAACAAAATTCAAATTCCCCCCCAAAAAAGGACCAGCTTGCTGGCCTGACAGACTGGAGAAGCTGTAGAGTATGGCACCCAGACACCCTCGTAACTCAGTACTGAAGTCACTCCTGAAGTTCACCCTTCAGCAAGAGACCGATAGGTCTATAGGGGCAACAATAACACTTTTGAGGGACGTGCTTCATAGTTCAACCATGTATACAAGAGTAATGGGCACACCAGCCCAAAAGCAAAGACGAGAAGGCAGGAAGGGACAGGAAAAGTGGGCGAATGGGAACAGGGAAATGGTAGAGAAGGGGAGAGTGTTGAAATATTGTGGGTTTGGCAGCCAATGTTACAAAACAATTTGTGTATTAACTGTTTAATGAGAAACTAATTTGCTCTGTAAACTTTCACCTAAATCACAATTTAAAAAAAAAAAAGGATTGATTTAGGTTAAATTGGGGCAGAGTAGATGTAAGAGCTTTCTTTCTATACCTTTTCTGGAGAACATACCCCAATGTATTGCATCTGGCTTCCTCCTTGTCTGTCTTGCCCCTGTTCTGGAGCTCTTGATTAACAACCATCTGTGACTTTTTTTTATATATCCTAATGTCCTGCACAAGGCCAGGTAGATAAAAGTCCAGTCAATAAATCTTGTAGAATGAATGAAAGTAGAGCAAGGAAGAAAGAAAGATAATCCTATTGTTAGAATTCTTTCTTCTGGTTGGTGGTAGGCAGTGTGGTTTGATTTAACATGTTGTGAATCCTAATTCCTGCCTTCAGAAAGTGGGAATTATGAACCTTCAAGGGCAGCTGTGAGAAGTAAATGAATATATCAAAGATACTTAGCACATTTCAAGTCAGTGAGAAGATGGTTTGTTCCATAAATGTTAAGAAAACTAACTATGTATGTAAACCAAAAAGAAAACCAAACCTGTACTAAGAGGGAAATGAATTTCTGCTACATAAGGGAGGAGTTTATCAGAAACCCAGGAGATTCACTGAGCCTTTTGTTTTTGGTATGTCCTTGCCTCGTGTTCTCCTCATTGGAAAGCTGTGGCAACCCAATAAAAAATAAGTAAGGAAGGTTTGGGTCATCCTACTACATAAAAACCCCTGTCTAGCCAGGTCCTGACATAGGCTAACGGTAACTTGGGTAGGTGCTAGAAGAAGGAAGCTACACAGGACTGGCTACAAATTTACAGGATCCAGTGCAAACTACAAATGTTGGCCCCTTGTTCAAAAACTATCTCAAGAATTTCAAGATGAGAACAGCAGAGCATCAACCAAGTGCAGGGACTTTCTAAGTGCAGGGCTCTGTGTGATTTTGTAGGCTGTACACCCATGAAGGCATCGCTGATGCTGTAATTGCTAACTCATGACCAGAAAGAAGTCTGGACTATAACAATTATGTTTATATTGCTTCTTTTTATTTCCCTTCCCCTAACTGTCCTTTAGAAGCCCTGGTGGTGCAGTAGTAAAAGTGCTCAGCTGCTAACCAAAAGGTCGGTGGTTTGAACCCCCCAGCCACTCCATGAGAGAAAGATGTGGCAGTCAGCTTCCATAAAGATTTACAGCCTTGGAAACCCTATGGGGCAGTTCTAATCTGTCCTATAGGGTCGCTATGAGTCAGAATCTACTTGATAGCAGTGGGTTTGGCTTTGAGTTTTGTAACTTTCATTCTACCATATATGAAGAATACCAGGGGTGGCTAAGATTTTAGGTCTCATGAGGAAGTACGATTGAATTGATATCGCTCCGTTATGATGCACTATCTTAAGAAACCCCACACATCTGTCTGTTTGTCATACTGTGGTGGCTTGCATGTTGCAGTGATGCTGGGAGCTATACCACCTGTATTTCAAATACCTGCAGAGTCACCAATGGTGGACAGGTTTCAGCAGAGCATCCAGACTAAGACAGACTAAGAAGAAGGACCTGGCGGTCTACTTCTGAAAAGAATTAGCTAGTGAAAACCTTATGAATAGCAGTGGAACATTGTCTGGTATAGTGCCAGAAGATGAGCCCATCAGATTGGAAGACACGTAAAAAATGATTGGGAAGGAGCTGCCTCCTCAAAGTAGAGTTGACTTTAATGAT